CACTCACTCTCTCTCGCTCACACACACACTCACTCTCTCTCTCACGCTCACACACACTCACTCTCTCTCTCTCGCTCACACACACACACTCACTCACTCTCTCTCGCTCACACACACACTCACTCACTCACTCTCTCTCGCTCACACACACACACACAGCTGGTTCTCTGTGTGTGTGTGTTGATGGTCTTGTTTCTGTCAGACTCCCAGTGCGTGCCGTTAGTGTGAGCTCTCAGCGTGAAGCAGTGCTGCTGCTGGCTGGAGATAAACACACACAGCCTGTATCTGTCAGGATTATCAGCAGTTTTTCGCTCCTGTGGACCCGCGCTAATGAGACACGCTGAAGCACCAGAGGCTAAAAACATGAGTAAGAGGAGACGCGTGGGACGACGACTGACAGCACGAGAACACGTGACATTTATCATGATTTATCACGTCACAACTGGTGAAAACAATGAAATAGTGAAAACTGATGAGGAGTTTAAAGGGGTCATGTTTGCCTTGATATTTTGGCATATAAGAGGTCTTTATACCATTAAAACATCCTGCAAATTTCATAGCTTAAAACCTCCTCCTCATTATAAACAAAGCATTTATTTAATCAAGCTCCAAACACGGCCCGTTTTGGATCCGAGGGGCAAGATGACGTCACCTAGCCCCAGTCATTTGCATAAACACGCCTCCAGAGCAAGACATTGACCAATAGTCATCATCTCACCATAGGCGTTCTTCATCTCTCTTCTGACAGTTCGGGAGAGAGGGGGCGGGGTTTTACCTGCGAATGCTGACACGATGGCTGGATTGCGTTTACATTACACTGAGATCTGATCACAATGCATCCTCGACTACCTCTGGACCAGGACACGCTGACTGGATAACATTCCGATCAGAAGCGTGTTTACACTTGACTTTTTAATGTGTATGTGGACAACATCCGGATACAGAACGCATGTTAATGCCAAGTGTAAACGCAGCCAAAGGCATGGAGAGTCACAAAGAAGCGGTACTAGATCTGCCTGCAGCCGCATCACGAACACAAGTAAATGATTTCATAATGCTTTGTCTGGAAATGATCATGTTGTCAAAACACTCACAATAGCGAGAGGGCGTTGATACCGTTTCCTACGCAGTGACGTTAGCCAATCACAACAGCGGCTGATTACTGACGAGCCTAAAAGGACCCGCCCCTTAAAACAGGTCGTTTTAGAGAGAGGGTCAGAATGAGGGTTGAAAATAATCATTTTCCCACATATTTATGTTTTTTTGTGCAAAATACCTTTAGCAACATTATAAGTAAACCTCAAGGAATATATTGGTGTTCATCACAGCGCCAAATACTTAAATATTTAGACTTATAGGCTATTTAGTTTCAAACTTTTTTTACATTTTAATCTGGACTACATCATGCCCTAGAAATTGTTTTGGTTATTTTTTTGTTCGGTTACACTTTACATTAAGGCTCCATTAGTTAACAAACTGCCAATGAAAAATTCTTCTAAACATTCATTAATCTTAGGTCATTTCAATATTTAATAACACATTGTTAAAATCAAAAGTTGCAAGTTTGCAACGGTGTTATTTAATGAACTGAGCTAACATGAACTTAAGTTGTATTTTTTAAACAAAGATTAATAACTTCTGTGTAAATGTAGCTATTGCTCATTGATAATGTTAACGCATTAACTAAGATTAACTAATGAGATCTCATTGTAAAGTGTTACTTATTAGTCTTCATAATTCTTTTGCACTTTAATCTGTGCAAATTTTTTACTTCATACATTTTTTTGTGTAGTGCATTTGCTTATTTAAATGTTCTTTGTGCTTTCAGTCAGGTTTCAGGCCCCACCATAGCACAGAAACTGCACTTGTTAAAATTACAAATGACTTGCTTCTTGCGTCAGACTAAGGCTGTGTCTCATTGCTAGTTTTACTTGATCTTAGTGCTGCATTCGATACTATAGATCATGACATACTCATAGATCGATTACAAAACTATACAGGTATCCAAGGGCAGGCTTTAAGATGGTTTAGATCCTACCTGTCCGATCGCTACCACCTTGTTCATTTAAATGGGGTCATCTCAATTATCACCAGTAAAATATGGAGTGCCACAAGGATCTGTCCTAGGTCCTCTGCTATTTTCGATATACATGTTGCCCCTTGGTAATATTATTAGAAAATACGGGATTAGTTTCCACTGTTATGCCGGCTCTTTCAGAAAGGCAATTTGAAAACAAAATACGAAGCGCTTACTTTGCATTGTTTGCAGTAAATATGAACATGGATTGACACGAATATTTAGTAATTACTAGGGATGGGATTTTGTGGCCGATACCGATTTTAACAAACAACTATTGGCTGATACCGATATTGGTCAATTGCATAAAGCAGGGCTTAAAAATGAGAGAGAAAAAAAAGATTGTTAACCCCGAACAGAATTGGTATTTGAAAGTTTCTGTTCCTGCGTTTCTCTGTGAAACTGGTTTGAGTAGAAAACATACTGGTTAATAACAATTTTAAACTTTTTCTTTGCCAATAATAATAATAATAATAATAAAAATACAGCATTTAATTTACTCAAAAAGAAAACAAATCATGAATAGAGCATGGATAAAAAAATGCTACTCCTAAGCGTTAATTAAAGATCGTTATCGGTGAGCATATCGGCAGATACTGCTTTCTGTGATCGGCCTCAAATCCTGATCGGAGCACTCTTTGGCGCAGACATCGTATTTTTACCATTACAGGCTGGTTGCTTTCACACACTGCAGCCACACAACTGTGTTCAAACACATTACAAAAGTGATTTTTGCATAATAGGTTCCCTTTAAATAGTGAAAACTGATGAGGAGTTTAACATCTCGTATTCCCACAGACGTATTCTAGTGGAAAGTGACTAGGTATTGTTGCTTGTGTGCATGATCGTGACGGATACGGAGGTCTGACCTCGATGACGTCAGTCTTGGCGTCTCCCCAGTAGATCTTCCTCTCGCTGTAGTCGAGCGCCAGTCCGTTGGGCCAGCCCAGAGACGTGTTGACCAGCACCAGCCGCTCCGTGCCGTCCAGAGCCGCCCGCTCGATCTTCGGCACTTCACCCCAGTCTGTCCAGTACATGTACCTGCGGCGACACGGGACACACGCTTCAGCACACGCTGAACACGGAGCTCCAGCAGCCTCTGACGACACCAGAGCACGCTTATCATTTCAGAAACTCTTGTGTTTCAACAGTGCTCTGATCGGTTTCTGGCCATCGGATTGGATCGAACCTTGAAAATGGGTTGTTCAAAGAAAAAAATGGTTTTGAAATCAGGTTCGATCATATAATCCAGTCTAGTTTTTGATCCGGATCAAACGTTTTAGTAGGACTGGGATTCCTTTGATCCCAGCAGACGGAAGGATTCAGGGTGGATTTAAAAAACAAAGTGATTTTAAACGACTTCAAAATTGGTCAAATAATACAACACTTGTAACATGCTGCATACATATTTATATTTAACCTTTACAAACCAAAGGCCAGCAGTTAATTTCTGCATTTGAATGTTTTAAATCGTATGTAAATTTCCCTTCCTTCTAACAAAGTAAAGCTTTCTATTCTATTTCTATTCTGTTCTTTAAAAGAGTTAAAACAACCAAACAAAAACATTAAGTGGAGCAAAAACAACACAGAATTTGCCACATTTTGGACGGATACATCAAAAGTAGGTCAGTACAGTTCAATCTAAACATGATATGGACGAGTGTCTGAAGATTAAGCTGCAAAAATACCATTTAAATATGAACACTATATGTTATGTGCGTCTCTGTGTGAAAGAATGTTTAGTTTACTGCACAAATACTGAGCCTCAGCCGTCTCAATATATGAGCACATAATCTCTAGAACTGCTCTGAGAGAGTCACTTCATGAGCACTTCACCGATTCTTTTGAGAAAAACTATCATCATATCATATATATAATCAGGAACCCTTCAAAATAAAAGTTCGGTTTAACTTGAAGAAACCGTGACCACAGAATTTGCCACATTTTGGACGGATACATCAAAAGTAGGTCAGTACAGTTCAATCTAAACATGATATGGACGAGTGTCTGAAGATTAAGCTGCAAAAATACCATTTAAATATGAACACTATATGTTATGTGCGTCTCTGTGTGAAAGAATGTTTAGTTTACTGCACAAATACTGAGCCTCAGCCGTCTCAATATATGAGCACATAATCTCTAGAACTGCTCTGAGAGAGTCACTTCATGAGCACTTCACCGATTCTTTTGAGAAAAACTATCATCATATCATATATAATCAGGAACCCTTCAAAATAAAAGTTCGGTTTAACTTGAAGAAACCGTGACAGATATCGTACTTAATGTAATGAGAGTACTACTGCGAATAATACAATTATTATTAAAGCATTATTTTTAAAGGAATATTTGCCAGAAAAATGTGTTGTGCATTAAATAATAATAATAACATAAAATAAAATATTTATTTTAAATGAAATCAATTAATTATTGATGCTTTTCATTATTAATATTTAATGAAACCATTTAAATGGAATCGTGAAAATTAGTGGAAAACAGAATTAGGTAAAAATAGAACTGAATTTAATTTCATATGGCCTTAATGTAATTTGTTAAACTTCCTGTTTAATATTGTAAATTTCATGATTTCAATTATTTAGAATAGACATGCTTTTTGATTAATAAAATAATTTAATTTAATTATTAAATAATAACTTAAATAATTTAACCATTAAAACAGCGCCTACAAATATGACAATGGAAAATACGGAATCCAGAAAAATAAAAACGGAAAAAGCGGAATTTGGGCCCCATATGACTGACTGCATTATTTTCCAAATGCTCCGTGAACTACTGATTGAACTGAACTAGCGCAGTAAACGGGACGAGGCCGTCGGATCGACAGGAAAACAGAGCAGAAACTCGTTCAAACGGAAGGAATGAAGCAAACGAAGTCTCACCCGGCGGCGGGGTCCAGCACGATGGCCCTCGGCTCGTCCAGCTCCTCCGAGATCAGGATCTTCCTCATGCTTCCGTTCAGCCGCGTCACCTCGATCCGGTCCGTGCCGGTGTCGGTCCAGTACAGGTTCCGTGCGATCCAGTCCACGGCGATCCCGTCCGGATGATTCACCTGCGAGGTCACCACGAACTGAGCCTCGCTCCCGTCCAGGCGGGACCTGCGGATGGCCTGCACCTCGTCGTCCGTCCAGTAGATGTGTCCCTCCACCGGGTCGAAGTCGATGGCGATGGCGTGCCGGATGTCGTCGGTCTGCAGCACGATGTCGGTAAAGTCTGGCGTGTCCAGAGAGATCCGCCGCAGGTCTGTGCGCCGCGCCAGAAGCAGCAGCTGAGTGGCACCTGGACAGGGTCAGGGGTCAGAGGTCACAACACAGACGGTCTTCGTACGAGAGACTGGAGTGAATATGCTCAGACCAAACCAGTGTACATTATGCACTTCTGCTGAACACTAAAGAAGAGTTATTAAAAAACGCTGAAAGCACATTGATTTTCACTGTACGGACAAAACAAAACAACAACAACAGACATTCAGTGCGTTACAGAAGACAATCAGTCATTAACTAATCATATCATCATACTCCTCTCAGCTGATAAATCATATACATCAAGACAGCTGTTTTGTACAAGATTTACAACTTTTTTGAAATGCTACGTTTAAATATGCAAATGAGGCATTATTTAATTAAATATGCATATGCACATACATTTCCAGAGCAGAAATCTGAACACCGGTTCAATATTCTTGTCTGATGTTGTGGTCATATTAGACAAAGGTTTTTCCAGAGTTTTTCCATAAATCAGAAAACAAACACATTTTCACCACGTTTTTAGGAATAAAATATTTTATAAATCAGTGTAAATGATATATGAACAAAGCTTCAGAATATAGATAGATATAAAACTGTAAACACACACACTCATACATACACACACACACACACACACACTCATACATACATACACACACACACACTCATACACACACACACACACACACACTCTCACACATACATACATGGATTTAAAAAACAAAGTGATTTTAAACGACTTCAAAATTGGTCAAATAATACAACACTTGTAACATGCTGCATACATATTTATATTTAACCTTTACAAACCAAAGGCCAGCAGTTAATTTCTGCATTTGAATGTTTTAAATCGTATGTAAATTTCCCTTCCTTCTAACAAAGTAAAGCTTTCTATTCTATTTCTATTCTGTTCTTTAAAAGAGTTAAAACAACCAAACAAAAACATTAAGTGGAGCAAAAACAACACAGAATTTGCCACATTTTGGACGGATACATCAAAAGTAGGTCAGTACAGTTCAATCTAAACATGATATGGACGAGTGTCTGAAGATTAAGCTGCAAAAATACCATTTAAATATGAACACTATATGTTATGTGCGTCTCTGTGTGAAAGAATGTTTAGTTTACTGCACAAATACTGAGCCTCAGCCGTCTCAATATATGAGCACATAATCTCTAGAACTGCTCTGAGAGAGTCACTTCATGAGCACTTCACCGATTCTTTTGAGAAAAACTATCATCATATCATATATAATCAGGAACCCTTCAAAATAAAAGTTCGGTTTAACTTGAAGAAACCGTGACCGATATCGTACTTAATGTAATGAGAGTACTACTGCGAATAATACAATTATTATTAAAGCATTATTTTTAAAGGAATATTTGCCAGAAAAATGTGTTGTGCATTAAATAATAATAATAACATAAAATAAAATATTTATTTTAAATGAAATCAATTAATTATTGATGCTTTTCATTATTAATATTTAATGAAACCATTTAAATGGAATCGTGAAAATTAGTGGAAAACAGAATTAGGTAAAAATAGAACTGAATTTAATTTCATATGGCCTTAATGTAATTTGTTAAACTTCCTGTTTAATATTGTAAATTTCATGATTTCAATTATTTAGAATAGACATGCTTTTTGATTAATAAAATAATTTAATTTAATTATTAAATAATAACTTAAATAATTTAACCATTAAAACAGCGCCTACAAATATGACAATGGAAAATACGGAATCCAGAAAAATAAAAACGGAAAAAGCGGAATTTGGGCCCCATATGACTGACTGCATTATTTTCCAAATGCTCCGTGAACTACTGATTGAACTGAACTAGCGCAGTAAACGGGACGAGGCCGTCGGATCGACAGGAAAACAGAGCAGAAACTCGTTCAAACGGAAGGAATGAAGCAAACGAAGTCTCACCCGGCGGCGGGGTCCAGCACGATGGCCCTCGGCTCGTCCAGCTCCTCCGAGATCAGGATCTTCCTCATGCTTCCGTTCAGCCGCGTCACCTCGATCCGGTCCGTGCCGGTGTCGGTCCAGTACAGGTTCCGTGCGATCCAGTCCACGGCGATCCCGTCCGGATGATTCACCTGCGAGGTCACCACGAACTGAGCCTCGCTCCCGTCCAGGCGGGACCTGCGGATGG